GGGTCTGACAAGCTCACCGAGGTGGGCAGAGCCCTGGAACACCACGTGGGGACTGCGGCCGTGCTCGCTGACCGTGCAGACGCGGAAGCGGTAGTCGCCCTCGGTAGGCACGCAGTCTCCCGGCACCTCCACAGCGCCAGCTTTCTCAATGCTGAAGCACTGGACCCAGTCCTCAGAGCCCACCTCCTGCCGCTCCAGCCTATAGATGAAGGGGGTCTCAGGAGCCGGCTCGGGAGGTTTCCAGGTAAGTAGGACAGTGTTCTTGTGGCCCTTGAACATCTCTGCCAGCACGGGAGGGCCCGGTGGACTGTGCTTGACACCTGAGACAAAGGCAGGGTTTATGTTCGGACCCTGGGCAGACCTCCCACAGCCCTTCCATCTTAACACTTTGCCATCCCAGGATCTGGCATCCAGTCATCCTCCTGCCCTGGCCCTCCTGTCCCACCCTGGAGAACTCAGCCCCTATGCCTTCACGCCCTCACATTTGACTCTAAGTAGAGTGGTGGTCCGGGAGTTGCCCACATTAAAGGTGACCTCGCCAGCATCTTCTCGGGTGACCCCCGGCAAGACCAGGGCATGCATGTGGCCAGAGCTGCTCTGGCAGGTGGCCGGCAGGTCCTCTCCATCACGGCTCCAGCGCCCCTCGATTCCAGCCTCGCGCGTCTCCACCAGCAGCACCGCATTCTCTCCTTCCAGGACGTCAAGCTTCCGGGGCAGCCGCTTCAGGATGGGCCCTGGGATGTGGACGGGACTCCATCAGCCCAAGGCCTGGGCACCTGCCTGCCTCAGCCTCGGCTCCTCCCACCAGCCGGCCAACCTTTGACCGTCACGTTGGCCACAGAGCGCACACGGCCCCGCATCTCACACAGGTAGACACCATCGTCATCAGCCTTTAGCCGGTGGATGATGAGGCGTCGGACAGTGCCCTCCTCAATCTGCTCGTACTTGCGGCAGGGCAGCAGACGCTGGTCCTCACGGAACCAGGCTGTGGGGATGCGCGAGTTTGGCACTTTACATTCCAGCACAACAATGCCATGCTCTCGGCCCTCAACATCCTGCAGGGGCCTCGTGAACCGGAGTCGGGGCTCTGTGGAGAGGAGGGAGACAAGAGAAGGCTGTGGAGAGGGGCTAGACCTGAAGGAGGCTCCTCTCGCAACACCTAAACACACACCAGCTCATGCCGTTGGCTGTGTTCCCCTAGCCAGCAGGCACCGTGGAATCACAGCAAAACCCCATCAGAAGGCCCTGACACTGACCAGCCACACCCCCTAGAGCAAGTCCACTTTAACAATCCTGGCCCTCAGTTTCCTTACTTGTAAAATGGGAAACAGGAGGGAAGACGGACCAGACCAGTGATTTTCAAACTGTTTCCTAGGGCCCCTCAGATGCTGGTTGCCATCAACTCGATTCCAACTCATGGTGACCCTGTGTGCAGAGTAGAACCACTGCACGGGGTTTTCAAGGCTGTGAACTTTCGGAAGCAGATTGCCAGGCCTGTCTTTCCAGGCACCTCCCGGTGGGTTCGAACTGCCAACCTTTTGGCTAGTAATTGAGTGCTTAAACATGTGCACCACCCAGAGGGCACCTCACAAATTCTGCAAGGGTCTGAGCTGAATTTCATTTTTAAAGTATCGTAACCATTTTCAAAACCGTATCTTTAAAAAAGAAACCATGATGGTGGAGATGGCCGGTGGGTTAACTTGAGCTGCTGGAGGAGCAAGTTTTTGCACAGCTCTGGGCAGCTTCTCTTGCCTTCTTGCAGGGCTTTTCTTTCCTAATGGAGTCACAGTGCAGCGCAGGCCTGGCAAGTCTGCACACATAAAAGTACACTAGGGAGAGCATATGGTACAGGTGCAACACACTTGACTATGTGCCAGGCAGCGCGCAGAGGAATTTGCCAGCTTTTTCTCCGAGGGAAAAAGTTGGCAACACCTAGTGAAGGTATAATCCCAAAAGTAGTGATGAAATCCTATTAAGAAGAGCTTTAACTTCCAATGTAAGTTTTGGCTATTTCTTCTCTAAAGGTTCTATTTATGAATAATATAAGCATTTACCAGACATTGCTGGTGATTCAATGTTAAAATACAAATTTCTTCTCCTCTAACTTCTTCGTCTTTCAAACCTGGGGAGCAGTTTAATTAAGTAATAGTAAAAAAAAAAAAAAAAAAAAAGGCAGGGTATTTTTTCTTTTTTCAAGGTTTCCTTTAGCGTAAGGAGCCCTGGTGGGGCAACGGTTACATGCCTGGTTGTTAACAGAAAGGTCAGTGGTTCAAACCCACCCAGTGGCGTTACTATGAGTAGAAATCGACTTGATGACACCTAACAATATCAACCTTTAGTGTAAATCAGTAATTTCTCCATATGATGCTTTGCAGACAGGCCTTCCCCACAGGAGTCAAAGCCTAAACGAGGTTATGAAAGCAGCCTCCATTTAAAATGTTTGTGTCCAATAAAACAGCCCCTTTGTTTTCACTGATTAGCTTTACAGGTACATGTCAGAATTTGGACATACATTTACACCCACAAAATGCTCCTTTGATCTGTTTTATACATTGGGGCTCCAGATGGGATTTCCGTGCGGGAGGGGGAGAGTAAAAAAACAATAAGGATGCAAACCTCTGGACTAGAAGAGGTCTACGACCCTCTCTGTTTGCATAGCAACCACTCCTCCAAGCTGTTTCTTTTTCAGAGTGGTTCTGCACCTTCTGCCTCAGACTCTCTTGAGAAGTTTGCTAAGAAGTTTCTAGAAAACCTCGAGCCTTACTAAATCTGACTCTTCTGGAGGTTGGGTGGAGGACAGAAAAGGGTATCTTAGCATTTCCCTCCCATCTCCTGGGGGGCGCCGCCGCACCTTTGACGTGCAGCTGCACGGCGCTGAGCGTCTGGCCCGCCGAATTGCGCGCGGCGCACACGTAGAGCCCGCGGTCCTTGGCCTGGCAGTAGAGCACCTTGAGCACAAAGCCGCCGTCGCGGTCGCGGTACATGAGGCGGCGGCGGTCGGGCAGCAGCGGGTGGCCCTCCCAGTGCCATTCGATCTCGGGCTCAGGCTTGCCCATCACGTAGCACCGGAACTTGGCGTGCTTGCCCTCGTTCACCCAGAAGGTCTTGGGCGCGCACTTGAGAGGCTCCACCACGGGCGGGGGCGCCTCGTCGGGGTCCGCAGGTGGGCTCTCTGGGGGCTGGTGCACCTGCAGCAGCGCGCCGGCCTGCGCGTGGCCGTGCGGGTTGCGGGCGTGGCACACGTAGACGCCCGAGTCTGGCAGCCGCGCCACCAGGATGCGCAGCGCCAGGCTCACGCCCCGGCCACCCTCCGCGAGGCCCGGCACGAGCGCGTAGTGGCTGCTGTCCCACACTTCGTCCAGGGCCATCCCGTCCTTCTCCCAGTACAGCGTGGGCTCAGGGAGGCCCCCCACCTGGCACGTCAACACCACCTCGGCCCCCCGCAGCACCCACTGCGACCCAGGCCCCGTCAGGAACACCGGGGCGCCCTCCCCGGCCGCGGGCGGCGGCAGCGGGC